GCTTTGTAGTGGTAATTGTGATGAGTCGATATCAAGTACTTTCTTTTCTAATTGGCTCTTACTGGTGAATAGCAGCTTGTTACATAACAGAAAATTGTGTTAAATAACCACAATTACAATTCTGAGGGCTTTCTTTAAGAACAACACCAACACACCACAAATCTAAGTGTTCGGATAAAAACACTAACAGAACGTAGAGCCTCTAGCCTCGCTTGGGAAGCGTTTAGGTTTCAGTTACGGAAAAACAGGAACCGGGGCAGCGTGAGGGAAACCCGGGACAGAGCAGGCTTTTCCTTCCCTTTAAAAACAAACACTTAAAAGTTGGGCTGTGCTGGCCCAGGCAACGCCTACAGGGCAGGCTCCAATGGACCCCTCCCCCCAGTGTGACTGGGGACAGACAGGGTTCTCCCATCAGCTCTGATTCCACCACCTCCCTGACAGGTCCCCGGGGAAGGCCCCAGCACAGAGCAGATGCACAGTCGCCACCGAACCAACCCAAGTGCCACCACAGCTGGCACTGTCCCAGGAGACGCGACGCGTAACAGTATTTCAGACGGGACCTGGCACCAGCTACTGCTCAAGGAATGTGAGCTCCCCCAGCATCATCATAACGACAACACCTCCTTCCGAGTGTCTCCTCTGAACGGCCTACAAGCGGGTCTGTTCACTTCCACAGGAAAGCTAAAGGATGCCCTGGAGGAGGCCCCTCAGGCCGCACACCAAACCCACCGGACTAGGTTTCTAGGACTCTCTCTTCATGACACCCTCTGGCCTGTACCTCGCCAGGCCCCCCAACTGGACGACCCCCAGAGCTTCCTGCTGACTCAGCCGGCGCGCATGCCTGCATGTGGGGAGCCGGGCCTGGGTGTGCGGGGCAGCACAGGGTTGGGGTGGGGGTGACGGGATAGAGACAATGTAAAGAGGCTTTCCCAGCACATAGTTGCAATTCTAGCGCCCAGAGCCGGCAGACAGTCAGTCTGACACCCCCAGATTCCCTGAATGCCCGCAGCCCGCGCAGTTATCCCCACACATTCCCGAGCCCCCCCTGGGCTACCCCACCCTTGACATTGCTCCCCAAGGGCAGAGTCGAGAGCAGGCGGTTTTGGAGTCCATCGGGTTATCTTCACACGGAAGGCAGCTAGTATGTATCGGGGCCCCGCTTTGTGACTTTCACCGTCAGTCACTCTGCAACGTAGGTATTACATCTCCATTTCCACACGTTAGCAGCACGTGCAATATACGTATGCGATGCAGCTACTCAATGTCAGAGCTGAAACTTAAGTCGTTTCTCCAGGACGAGGGTCTGCTCCTCTGTCCACTGTCTTGTCAAACAAACGCGCTTAAAAGAGCTGCATTATAAGTTCGTTGAATAAACTTCAAACCGACCTGACCCCTGAGCTGCTGCAGTTGACTATGCGCAGCTGATAAGCACCGGTGGATACAAGTAACACAAAGCTTGCCCCCAGCAAGCGCACTGTCTACGGGTGGCCACAGCTGGAAGCAAACCTAGTCTGAGATGTCAGTGTGATCAGGGAGATCTGGGCCAGGAAGCAGGGCGGCTGCGGGTGGGACTGGGAGAGTTAGACCCAGAGCGTGGCCCTCACTCTCCAGCACGAGTCACCCTGAAGCTGTGGAGCCACGAATACATGTTCATGTCTATCAGTTTCTCAGTTCTATCCACTAGTCATTTAAACATTGGTCATGGGTGGATGAGGGTACGGGGAAAACCTCATGTATTCCTGGTGGGAAGGCACACTGATACCTTTCAAGAGAAAGATCTGACATCTACCAAAATTTTTAACATGTGTCACCTTTGGCCCAGCAATTTGTTAAGAAATATACCCCCAGTGGCCAAGGATATGTATATAAAGCTATCTCGTTACCTCATTACTAAAGCCCCACTATATACACACACACACACACACACACACACACACACACGGGAACGGGCCGGGCTCAGGGACCGCACACCCACTGTATATGGAGCACAGTGGGTGCAGGCCTTTAAAAGGGGCGCTGAATTAAATAATGACTTTATCCCTGCACTGCTCAGAAAAAAACTTAGGATTAAACGTCAGTTAAATCGGGAAAACAGTAACAAAGAAAGAACAAAAAAACCCTCAACAGGAGTTGAGAACCAAATTGAAGCCCAAAGCAATGTCATCATAAAAGGATCACTTGCTGTGCTAAATTGCCTACCAGGGCCAAGAAGACAATGGTTAAGGGTCT